CCCGTGATTGTTTGTAACACCGCAATAATGCCAGATCTGAACATCTGAAAAAACTTACCGGCAAAATCCCACTCACGACATGGATTTCTGTACGTTGGTTGCCACACTAAAAGGTTTCCATTACAAAATAGCATTGTTGCGTAAGAGTAAAAAGTTCTTATTTTACATCTACAATAACCGACCAATTTAACTGCTGGAACCCTATAAGATTGAGATGGAGTCCCAAAATGAGAACCGTGATCCATGCGGTTATAAAGCCCTATAAACCTAAAACTTGTGGGAGGGAAGGATTCTAAACCGCGGACACCGTTGATGTTATGGAGGATCTAAGCGATGAAGGCATTGTTACGTTAAAATAAAGACCATTTATGAGCCATACAATAACTGCAAAGGCAGGATTTCAACAAGGTAATTTCATCAACACGTTGAAATCACTGAAGCGTACTTAACACAAGGAACGTCACATGAGGAGAGGAATGAGAAGAAGAGGAAGCTAAGGTCATAAGCTGACAGTTGCGCGAAGAACGTTGACTGAACTAGTACAACGACGCTGGAAATAGCAATTACTCCCCAGTTTAAAGAGAACCGACAAGAGGATAAAGGGCACAGCGTTTATCAACTCTGAGGGACGAGCAATGCATATGAGTTAGTCAAGCATCGCAAAAGTGGACTGAATGCATATCTGGTCTGTGGAATATCTAAAGAGGTCTAACGTTATACGTAATCACTATCATTCTATCCTCCCAGGCAAGTTTGAGAACAGAAGTAGCATATAAACAGCTCTGATTACACAAAGAGGTTTGCATAACAAAGGCTGCTTGTCGCAGGCAAACTTTCTCGGAATGGAATTAAAACCTTTGCTTACTGCAAGATTTCAAAGCGGTATGAGGAACAGCGAATATGGTTACTGTAGAAACATACAATATGATGAAGGAATAGTGACTACTCTGGCAATAGTTGTTTTATTTGATAGCGATTCTCTTACCCGAAGGATGGAAGGCTTAGAGAGCTGGATGCAGAAAGAGCTGTGATCCACATAGCAGATGATATGACGACATATAGACACCAGAAAGCAAGGTGCTAGCTTAACTCCCTCCACAACACTCTGCTCCAATCCACAAGGGAACGCCTTTGCTCGCTGTTTTCAAGATTGTAAGGA